ATCTGGACATAGAATAAGCACGGAGAAAAAAAAAGAGATATCTAATAAAAGAAGAACCAATAGCTATAAACTAGTAGGTCAGATCAAGTTTATTTAAGTCATTCAATTTTTCTTCTAAATAATAACTATTTTGTTCTTCTTCATATAAAAAGTAAAAGTTGTTCAAATTACTCCGCTTTAAATATTATTCAGATTTTTGCTTTTTTTATTTTTATTTTGGCCCGGCATGGCCAGGTGGTTAGGGCACTCGACTCGCAATCTGCGGGTCGCGGGTTCGAATCCCCGTTCCACCAAAACATGCTCGCCCTTTCAGCTGTGGGGGCGTTACAATGTGACGGTCAATCTCACTATTCGTTGGTAAAAGAGTAGCCCAAGAGTTGGCGGTGGGTGATGATGATGACTAGCTGCCTTCTTCTAGTCTTACACTGCTAAATTAGGGACGCCTAGCGCATATAGCCCTCGTGTAGCTTTGCGCGAAATTCAAAACAAACAAACAAAAGCTTTTTTTTATTTTAAAAACGGTGATTTTTGAGACATTTCACTATTTCTTTTTTAAAGCGAGTCTTGGTTGTAGAAATCATTGTTTATTCAAATATGCTAACTACTCTTTATATTTCAATTTCAAATGTCATGTTGAGAATAAATTATTTTTAGTGTCACTAAGTCAAAGTAGATCATTAAGGTTTCTTCAGATATGTTTTTATTTTATAAAATAAATACTTTGGTTGTAATGTGTCACATTCCTGACAAACTATAAGCATACTGGTAATTATGTTACTTTGACTGTAATGTGTTGCATTCATCATGAACTATAGCAACAATAGTAATTGTATGGTCAAGAGCCATGCACTTTTCTGAGTGATGTTTTTTGGTAAGACACCTTTAGCTACATAACTATATTTTGTGTTTATAATATCAAAGTATAAGTTTTTGCAGGAGTCATAAAGAAAAGTGTTCAGTGAAGTATTTATACCAAAATATGACCAAAGAACATAGATAAAGTCATATGAGGTCATGGGTTTTACGTACAGGTTTAATGTAAGTTAGTTCACTTAACATGACAATAACAAAAGGTCCCCATTTAAACCGCGTAAAAAAAATTATTATTTATTCTCATAGCTTAGACTTTAAAAATATAAAAGAGAAGAAGAAAAATTGTAACTAATGTATGTAATAGAAACACTAAAAACATTTTCCCCATCTTAATCTAACCATTATTTTCTAAAGTATATTTTCAAGGATCTCTGGATTATGATTAATCATTTACATTAATACAAATACGTATTATCGTAGATTTTTTTAATTACGATTAATGTCAATATTTATTATTTTAGAAGACCTCTAATGAATAAATTTAATCATTAAAACCAAAAGGCATCTTATTAGATATTAAGACTTCTGTTTAAATTAATATTAAGCGTCTTTTTAATCTTGCAATATATTAAAACTTACATCAAAATCCTTATTCCAACAAATACTCGGAGTTAGAGTCAAAGAGCGAGAGCATCCTGGAATTTTACTAGATAATCTTGATTGAAGTTAAAATATATCTTCGACAATTTTGCTGATCAATACCCGGGATCAGGTTTTAAGTGTAATTTAATGTTTTGATATTAATTTCAATTCTAATACCAGAAGTTTACAAAAAAAAGAGTCCATCTTGAAATAAAACCTTAATGGTAAGCAAATCTAGGTTTTGGTTGTAATCTAAAATGTTAATTATTTCGTATTATTCTTAGAACCAATGCGTATAGCGTGCACATGACGTTTTTATATTGCTTGAATATTAAAAATATTAAGTCCTGTGGGTTGTCCGCAGGGATTAGTTATTATGCAAACCTAATGAAGCAGCCGTTGTATTAATAGATAGTAGTACAGTACGTAGGTGCGTGTTCTCAGCCAGTGTATGTATGTAGAAACAAGTACACGTACATATTTTTGTTACTTCGGCTAGGTATACCTAGAATGTGTTATTTATCTTATCGAGTCATGTAAAATTGACCAAAATGAAGAGCTAATGACTTTGGAATAAATGCATACTAATGTGCACGTTAGTTAGCAAAACTAAATAACGACTTTTTTTACATAATTCATAATCTTAGGAGAAGTGAAAAGATGGAATGTAAAGAATAACCTATTTAACAATGTTTCTAAATATATATATATATATATATACTTCCAATGGCTGAGCTGTAAACCTGGGCACAGTACAGATAGTTCGTTATATATAGTCTCTAACAAACAAACAAAATTTAACAATAAATTTAAATAGTGCTTTGAGCAGATGGAAACATGACTTCATACTAATTACTGCGTGGTGTATGCTTATTTGTTGTTAAGCACAGAGCTACATAATCTGCACAACAGTCTCTCAGAGCTCTGTCCACCGCGCATGTCAAAACCCGATTTTTAGTGTTATAAACCCTCAGACATGACATTCCTCTGAGCTGCTGGATGGTTTACTGCGTGGTAAATTATTTGTTTGATGTCTTTTTCATCAGTAAAATGTACGTTTTGTTAGATAGGCCGAGCATGACCTAGTGATATAGAAACATACCATGGGTTTCTTTTAATATTTAATGCTAAATTCATTCTTCCTTCTGAATATGGGCAAATTTTTTCACATAAAATGTGGTCACGAAAACCCTTGAGTTGATTTTTTATCAGGTTACGTTTGCTTATTTGTCATTCTCAAAATTAGGTGATACCTGTTACTAATCGTAAATAACATTTCTACATATGGTTTTG